ATCTTGCATTTTCAGCTGTTGTTGATGAAATCCAGTCATTGATAGAGAAAAGCCGAAGATTAATCATTGTCCTCAGTGAAAGTTATATGTCCAGTGAGGTCAGGTATGAACTTGAAAGTGGACTCCATGAAGCGCTGGTGGAAAGGAAAATTAAAATAATCTTAATTGAATTTACACCTGTTAGTGACTTCACGTTCTTGCCCCAATCGCTAAAGCTTTTGAAGTCTCACAGAGTTCTGAAGTGGAAAGCTGATAAGTCTCTTTCTTATAACTCAAGGTTCTGGAAAAATCTTCTTTACTTAATGCCTGCAAAAACAGTCAAGCCAGGAAGAGATGTATCAGAAGTCCTGCCTGCTGTTTCAGAGTCTTGATCTTCAGCAAAGCGGAACATCAGAAAGACCTCTAGAGATTCTGGGGACTGAGCCTGTGCAGGACAAAGGCTGTCATCCAAAAGATTTAACTCTAGTCTATGAAAATTCTACTCACAGTCTGAAGATGACACGTGTCATGAAGTTGTCAGGGATAAGACTAAATGATGAGCTGTGGTCACGTGCTCCAGGAAGACCCTGGAGTGCAAAAGAAATGCAGCTCCTCTTTCTTCTTCCATAACTGGATGCAGCTGCTCATATTTGATTCCCTGTTCAGCAAGTGGGAGTCTGGGCATGATGCAGAATAGCTCATGCCTTACAGAAAGGGCCCATCTTTAAGAATATTTAATGCTGACAATTAATTTGAACTAGATGATTTAAGTACATGGAGAGGCATTTTCTATGAACCAGTGGGTGACAGAGTAACTGGAATGTTGCCTTCCCTCCCCAACAGCTACCTCCCTCTAAACACAGTAACTGCATGTGGGATGCAGGAGGTGAGAGCTAGAAGGGCTGCGTGCAGAGCAGAGGGGTGAGGAGGGAGCTGCTGTCTGCAGGCTGCATTTAATGCATCCCAGCCATGGCTGCAAGCCAATAATTCTTGGAACTCCAGTAAGGCACTGTATGCAGCTCACTTGTTTGGAAAGATTTATAGTGTTAACAAAAGAGGATCACAGGATTCACTAAAGAGAAAAGGGAGATTTTATTTTCCATAAATAAACAATCTACAGACTGGGGAGCACAGACCTCAGCAGAACCAAAGATAAGCACTCCATTGGACAAAGCAGGAAGGCTGGCATTTTTGCTTTCCAGTATCAGGTTCACATACATACCCAGTGAGCTTAAGGGAAGGCTATCAATATTTACAGAGAAACTGAGGTAAGAGGTGCTCAGTTTCCATGGGTTTGGGTTTCAGGACATGCCTGTGGGTTCTAAGCCACTCCCCGAGGTCTCAGGCCCTTCCTCTGGGCCCTCCACTACAGAACAGTTACTGTTGCAATTTGGACCTATTTTGGGCACCAGCATGGAGAAATTGAGACCTTGAGGTGTTGACTTATGCAAATCCAGTGGCTGGGCATGCTCAGTAGAGAGGAGTTTATCCTTCAAATGACCTTCTGCTAGAGGCACTAGCTAGCACTGAATATTTTAGGTGTTTTCCAGTGGGTGTGTTAGAATTTGACCAATGAGTGAGCTGTGAAAAGAGACCAGCTGACCATGTGCAAGACTATGTTACATAACTGGGAACCCCTGTTAGTTAAATATTCATATGATAGCATGAATATGCATTAGATAGTGAAACTATAAAAGTTGAATGCTGGTAGGAGGGGGGGCTGCAGCTGCTCACTCTCCAGCCAGCCCACAGCTCACCAGGAGAGGTGTGTATACTTTACACTTCATACTAAACGTTAAGTGTGCATTTCTTACTTTTGTATTAAAGTTGGTGTAGACCCTGCTCAGTCTATGGAGCTAGGCTGCACTTTCTCTGTGAAAAACCTATACTTAACCGTTACAAAAAACCTGATTTCACTTTATACTGTGACTCTGTTCTTGAATTCTTTCCTGTGGCAGTGTCAAGAGCCTGCTGAGGACAGGGTGGGTTGAGGCTGGCTGCTGGACTTCTCCAGACCCTCTCTGCCAATATCAAAACCATACACATGCATAGTGAGTGAACATATATGTAATTATAATGCACAAGGTGTATTACTGCACAGGCTCCATAGGTTGGCTGTGACTGGTTTGATGTGTCCTCTCTTATCCCAGAAGAGAGAGATTGTCCTTAGAGTTTGTTTTCTGTCTACTTGGAGCCATAGGGGACCCTCAAAAGTGAGGGGGGGGGTCCATGACTGGAGCCAGGTGGACTTGTTGAAGGTAAGTGTAGAATTCCCAATCATAGCTGATTTGGCCTTATCTTCTGAAAGTTGCCTTTGCTTAGTTACAGAAAAGAAAACTTCATAACAGTAGCTAAGAAATAAGTGTCTGCCCTTGTATTCCCTGTGGCTATTTGGTTCTGTTTTACAATTTGAACATCCCTCTCAACCACAGTGAGTCCCTTTTATCTGTCTTCTGGGGTACATTTCAACAATAGGAACCTCTTTTTTTAATTAACACATTGC